ACAGCGTTTTGACAACATGAGCAACAAATAAAGTGACCATGAAAAACACCACAAATTCACCCAGTCGACCCATGATTCGAACACAACTATTCGTTCAGTGTCTGGTTCGCCTCGAGCTCCAATGGTAATTGATCTTAGAGTTCACATTTAAATTACCGTAATGTTGCGTGACACCTTTCTTTGTTGATGAATTTCTCGTTTCCAGCTCCAAACGCAGGTGATGGCGATAGCTATGAGAACCTGGGATCAGGGGTGCAACCTCGAAAAAAGAAGGCGTGATCCCAGGTTAAAGCTATCAAGTAATTTGTCGGTTATGATTTATGTGTGTATCGATACTGCTGATTTTATGTCTGTGTTGGAAGTTTTCGGCTTTTCATTCAGGCTGTCTGTCTGATTGATTGGTGGACGGAAGGGACGAGGGTGACAAAGGGGGGGGGGAAGGGGGTTTCAATCCTACATCACGCTGAATTTTCCTATCAAATCACGCATCACGGATAATTTTTTTAACCAATCATGCGTCACGTAAAAGGATTAATTACGCTAAGCTAATACTGTAAGATTTCAACCGATCGGATGTATTATTAAAAATTATATTACATCCAACGTTTTTTTATTCCGGAATGAATTGCGTTTCACTTGTCATATTTCTTTTTGTTGAACAAATAAAGACGAGACGACTTACTTGTGGAAACTAGACGCTGAGAGAGCGTTTACTCAGGCCTCGTATCACAATATCAAATCACACTTTACAAGTATAGAACACAGTAAAAACAAACCAGAGAATCAGAATTTTAACACAAGAGTGAAGCTTAGGTATTTACCATTCAAGTTGCTTCGTTGAGTATCCTCTTCATCCAATAGCTTGTTGTTTGCCTCACCTTCGAAGTTCTGTTCACGAAGATTTTTTTTTTCAATTCAGCATCTGAGGTGTTCGTCTGGGCATCATAGTCGTCATAGTTTGTTGTTTAATAAGTCAGTAGTCATAGATTTGACAATGTTTTCGTAGATTGAACTCATATATGGCCCATTAGTTATCTCTCTAGAACTAGTATGATTGCTAAATTGGCTATCTTTCAATTTTGCGGCCACTTGTGGCTCCAAGATTGAGCAGACGTCTACGCCACCTTTACTCTTCTTTTATACACAGGCAATATTAATGTCAATGTTTTGACCAATCCCCTTCTGAACGGCAACTGTCTTTATGTCAGTAAAGGTTACAACGTGGCTTTTGAATTCGTTTAGGTCAAAAAAATTTCCCAGTGATTTAACTCATTGCTTACATTACCATCCTCTAGGGCGGCATAAAATGACACCAAAACTCGAACGTCTTTTACTGTTTCAGTCGTTTGGGTCGACATTCTTAGAGATCTTTCATTCGATGAATTCGGATACTTTCTGGTCTTTCTGGATACGATCTGACGCACCACCACGACCAGGCGGTCGACAAAAATAACACTGAAGGTCATATTCCTCATACAAATGTTAACTATATTAACTTATGCCTATTGTGTTACGATTGACCAGAAAACAGTGTCACGGCTGCCACGGTTTATTGATCTTTATTAAGACTCTATTTGCTTTGAATGATTGGATTCCTTCTAGGTCAAAGAGCGTTCATTATCACGGAATCCAATTAGTAAGTGTTGTAAATTACGCGTCACGCGCTTGTAATACAGAAAATCGCGCATCACGTTGTCATGTCCGGTCCTGCGTCACGCGGATAATTCGGGTTCATTCATGCGTCACCCTGCAAATTTTGGGGCCATCACGCGTCATGCAAAAACCCCTGCCACCCTCAAGGACGGACACACCGACTGACACTTGGTTCCTCCATTTTCTGACTTAATTTTTCTTATCAGCAACTTCGAACGATCGAACTATAATCTTTGGATCCTTATGATGGAGCATGTAAAACTCGCCTCGCGAGTTTCTCCGCTTGACAGAAAAACAGCAAAATATCACGCTTATTCTTAAAAAAGTGATGCCAATGTCGATGCAGTCTGACGAACAGATCTTGTGCCTTAATGCACCTTGAAATCCCATAAGTGTCACATATTTATCAGGATCGAGCAGCCAAGATATTTAATTAAAAGTTAACCAGATCAAATAAGGACCTGTCCGTATTGTAACTTTTAACACTTAATGAGAAAAAAATATACACTGGACTTTCAGTTTAACTCTTAATAACTTAATATTTTCTTTCATTTATACATATATTTGACTCTTAGTCATATTATCTATTTTTATTTTAAGACGTGCAATTGTTTATTTTCATTCAGATGAGAAGACACCTGCTGATAGAAATGCTGAATAAAGCAATTATTATCGTTATTACTACTACATTATTACTATTATGGTTGTACTTACCGTTAGCATCCCACTTCCTTCGCATTTTACGCGTTAAACATAGACCAAAATGGGGAAAAGTTTTCATGAGATATGGTCTTACCGGAGCTGAGGAATGAAGGTCGTATTTTCTTGAAAGAATGCAACGCGGCCCGAGGTTATCTATTGGAACGAGTTAAGCGAGTGGAATACATGTGATTCTGGTGCCACACGCTTAAGAAATAAATGAACCCGTGGAAAGCAGAGGTCAAAGGGATTACTTGTTCCTTTTGAGCCTAAGTTGAAGCATACAACCATGGGACGGGTTTGTGGTTCGGTTTCGATATTCAATATGAAATTTCCGATGATCACCCCTGCCACTTTCATATGAATTTTCCAGAAAAATAATAATTCTACTTTTAGCAGCGATGACAAATACAGTGTTCGCGTCAGCGAAACTGAAGTTGACGCTTACAAGTTAGTTATGCGTTGGCATTTGAAGAGATCGCTGTAAAGATGCAAGTAATACCCAAAAGAAGCCTCGTCTTAAATAAAGCATTTTTCGTTGGTCTCATGTAATCAAGGAAGTAAGTTACTGTGGAAAAAAAACAACTTTAATCTATGTAATATCAAGTTTCCATGCTAGGCTTTTTCCTCAGTCTACAAGGATAAATCTTTAAGCCTGTATCTAATTTACTTTCTTTTTCTATGGAAATAGAGCCGGGAGGCAATTTTTTTTAAGTGCGTCAGTCTAGCAACTTTCCGCATTCTCTGCTAACCTCTTCAGATCTGACTGCTCAAAAAAACGTTCGCTCAGGCGTAAATTAACCATGGAAGAAACGTCCCAAAGAGAAAATGAGCTTGCAATATCTTTGGAGGACAGATATATTGGCCTTGTTGTCTTTGAATCCACACTCTGGGTTTTCCTCGTTGGATCAGCAGTTTTGGGTAACGCTTTAGTTTGTTTATCCTTGTACAAGATCAGAGGATTTCGCGCGCCTCAAAACTATTACATAGCGTGCCTCGCCACCGCAGACTTGCTGTTCGCCGTCTTGTGTATGACGTTATCCCTTGGAGTACTAATAGAAGGCCAGTGGATTTTTGGTAATGCCTTCTGCCAGGCTCAGGGCAGTCTTACATTTGTCTTCGCTCTCGTTTCTCTATTCACAATGGCTCTTATCGCCATCAATCGGTTTTTCAAGATAACGAAGTCTGTAGCTATTTATCGGAGAATTTATAGCAAGAGGAACATTTTGCTCTCAATTCTTGTGGCTTGGATCGTCGCAATCGCTTTGGCGACGGCCGTGTTTTCATTCGGAACCAAAGCGTTTCGCTTTCATCCTGGAAAAAACCTCTGCTTTGTAAACATGAATCACCATAAGGGCATCCCAATATACACACTTGTGGCCTACGGTGCAGTTTGCTTTTTAGTATTTCCTTTGATGTTATTCTGCTACTTTAAAGCTTACTGGAGAGTTCGGGCACATTTTGCCGAAATTTTGAACTCGAGTCTTGCTCGAGAGACTTCGGGATCTTTCGCAGACGAGGCGAGGATTACTCGGATGTTGTTCGTTACCCTGATAGCGTTCCTTGTTTGTTGGACACCAGTCATCTGCACGGATGTTTATGAAGCACTGAGCGGCCCGCGTTCGCTTCCACGACAAGTGTACTTTTGGCAAGTGGTGCTGCTAGCGAGTAACAGTGCTGTCAATCCAATCATTTATGGACTTATGCGACGGGAGCTCAGAATGGCGTATAAAGACATATTGACTTGTAAAGCTTAAAATCAGTGAGGTCGTCTACTTCCTCCTGTTTACATATAAACCATTG